CTCCACAGAGGGGTCCAAGAGATACAGCCTTCTACAAAAAGAAGGCTGACTACTATCAACAGAAGTCTCTGCTAGCTCAATCTAGTGAGCTAGTAACTGATGAATCCTCTAACGAAGATGATCAGAAGGGTCTTCTTGCTTGGGAAGACTCGGACACAGAGGATGAGTTCTTCTGTGGGATGGCAAAGATCAACTCTGACTCCTCTAAATCAAATGACCAAGAGGTTTATACTTCCTACTTTTCTGAATCAATTGATCTATACACAGAGATCATTGATAATCTTGATTCATGTCATTTGGAACATTACAAGCTTAAAGAAAAACTTTCTCTTTGTGAAAAAGAAGTCATTCTTCTCACAGAGGAAAGAAATAGATTTTTTAAAATGTTCGAAGAAGCTCAAACAAATTTTRTAAATTTGGAAAAATCTTCAAAAGAAAAGTTTGTCGAAATTCAAAAGGAGTTGAAAAACAAGGTTGATGAGTTAAGGATGTTAGAGCATGAGAAATGCAATGTTACTTATGTCAAAGAATTCTTCCTAAAATAAAGAGAATTTTTACATCAAGATGTTTTTGACAGAGAGCTCAAAATTTGAAAGTTTCAAGAGGCTCAAAATGTTTATAAAAAGATAAAAGTTAACATGGGCAAAAGAGGTCTGGGTTTCTCAGAATTTGATAACAAACCTGGTTTTAAATCCAACAAAACTCTTGAGAATACCTTTAGATCCTCAAAGAATCTTAAAAGTAATATTTCTAACACAAAGTCCATTTTTAAAAGACGAAGACTGTTGGTTGCTCCAGACACAAAAACTTGTTTAATAATGGAAAATGTTGCTTTTGAAGACTACATTGACTCTTTCTCACCTTCTGAAAAGAAGGATTCTATTCCAAGGAGATTTATGAGATAGAGTCAGATAGGAATTTTTAAGTTTGGACAACCAGAGACTCAAGTAGACTGTGCTTTTGTGTGTACCATTCATCCTCTTGAGAGAAAGTTTTCCTCAGAGGCTCTAGAATTTTTTCCAAAACACATCACAGAGCCTTCTGAAAATGAGTCTCTTTATAAAAAGGTTTTTGTCACAGAGCTCTCTGAAAATGATACTTCTAAGCATGAATATGCCTCAGAT